GCCCCTAAGTCAGGAGTATAGGTCCAGGAGTAGGGCAGAATGGACTTTGAAATAATATGTTGATCTAGATTTTTTTTTCTCCCATTTTGGTTTGTTTTCCTCTCACTGGAAAAGAGAGAGAGACTCTTCTGGGCTCAAGGATTGAGAAGACAACCTCAGAGTGACCCCCAGGGTCACCTCCATGGACAGGTGGGGTCCCCTAAAAGTCCCAGCTGAGTTGGGAGATGGTGAGTAGAGAAGTCCTTCTGGCTTCCTGAGGAGGCAGAACATGGAGAAGTAGCAGGAAGGACTAGGTTTTGGCTTCCGACAGCTAATATAGGTTATGTCTCCAGCAAGACAGTGTTCTTGAAGGCCAAGTATTGGCAAGAGATAATTTTCAAAATTCCTTTAGGTCCTGTGTGTGTGCTCTTGTGTGCTCAATCGTGTCCGACTCTTGGAGGCCCCACGGACTGGAGCCCACGAGGCTCCTCTGTCCATAGGATTTCCCCAGGCAAGAATACTGGAGTGGGTTGCCATTTCTTTCTCCAGCAGATCTGCCCGACCCAGGGATCCAACCCATGTCTCCTGCATCTCCTGAACTGGCAGGAGGACCCTTTGCCACTAGTGCCACCTGGGAAGCCCCCTTTAGCTCGTAGTCCCATATAAAGATTCAGACTCAGAGATTTGATTCCTAAGGTTCTTATATCCAGATCACTCACGAGTTTCTGCCACGAGGGACAGGGGTGGATGAGGAGGGAAGCTGAGGAAGGGGAAGCCAGGGGTCACACGGGTTGCCCCAACTCACCACAAAATGAAGGTTCTGGGTGGGAGCCCAAGGAAGATGGGCTTTTCCTCTGCTCCCTGTTTGGAACCTTGGAGGGCGTGCCCCCATCCCAGTACAGAGGCACGTGGGTGCTGGGGAGCCCAGTGTGGTGGCAGGAAGATGCGGTAAACGTGCTGGACCAGGATTCCTGGGCTCCTTCAACTCCTCTGCAGCGTGGAAGGGACCCAGGGATTCTCTTGGGTGCCCCACATCAGTACAGCAGGTAACCAAGGGTCTGCTGGGAGCCAGTGGCTGTGAGGGACCCAGTTTGGCCAGGGATGAAGCAGAAATCCCACCAGACCTAGGGGATCTCCATGGTGACCTGGTCACACATGACAGCCCCCAAGCACAGACCTTCGGTCCCTAATCTTTAGCAGCGACATCAGGGGGAAGTCCAAAAGGCCGGCCAGCACAGCTGCATGGCAGAGGGGCCCATGCAGGGTCAGGACAAGACCAGGAGACTGTCATTTTCCCACAGGGACCATGAGTTTCTCTGTGCACCAGCTGCTGCCCTGGGTATGAGGGTAGGAAGGAGGGAACAGCACTGATGAGAGTTGAAATCTATCAGCAAATATTCCCTGAAGAAGCCTGTGTCCACTGAAGGTGATTGTTTCAACCAGAGATAGTATTAATGACAAATTACTCCCCTCTCATGCCCATGGGAGACAGTCTCGCGTGGAAGAGAACTATGGAAGGTTCACGGCCCCAGCACACCTGAATGGGGGAGGTGAGTCTGAGTTCTCACCACCTTGGCCTGGAAGGATAATGGTTATGGCTGAACAGTGTCCCTCCAAAGATTGCTAAGTTGAAGTCCTAACTCCCAGCACCTCAAAACATGACTATATTTGGAGATTGGGTCTTTAAAGAAGTGACCAGGGTTAAATGAGGTCTTATCAGTGGGCCCCAATCCAAGATAACTGTCATCTTAGATACATTCAGAGAGAGGACACCCAGAGGGAAACCATGTGAAGACAGGAAGAGATTGGAGTGATGCTGTCATAAGCCAAAGGACGCTACAGATCATTGGCCACGACCAGAATAAAGAGAACTATGGAAGGTTCACGGCCCCAGCACACCTGAATGGGGGAGGTGAGTCTGAGTTCTCACCACCTTGGCCTGGAAGGATAATGGTTATGACTGAACAGTGTCCCTCCAAAGATTGCTAAGTTGAAGTCCTAACTCCCAGCACCTCAGAACATGACTGTATTTGGAGATTGGGTCTTTAAAGAAGTGACCAGGGTTAAAAGAGGTCTTATCAGTGGGTCCCAATCCAAGATAACTGTCATCTTAGATACATTCAGAGAGAGGACACCCAGAGGGAAACCATGTGAAGACAGGAAGAGATTGGAGTGATGCTGTCATAAGCCAAAGGACGCTACAGATCATTGGCCACGACCAGAATCAAGAAGAGGCAGGGAAGGACTCTTCTCTAGAGCAGTGGTCCCCAACCTTTTTGGCACCAGGGACCGGTTTTATGGGGCTTCCAAGGTGGCTCAGACGGTAAAGAATAGACTTGCAATGCAGGAGACACAGGTTCGGTCCCTGGGTCAGGAAGATACCCTGGAGAAGAGAATGGCTATCCACTCCAGTTTTCTTGCCTGGAGAAGTCCATGGACAGAGGAGCCTGGTGGGCTACAGTCCATGGGGTCACAAAGAGTCAGACACGACTAAGCAACTAACACTTTCACTTTTCACCAGTTTCATGGAAGATAATTTTTCCACGGACCAGGGTAGGGGGATAGTTTCAGGGTGACTCAAGTGCGTTACATTTATTGTGCACTTTATTTCTATTATAATTACATCAGCATCACCTCAGATCATCAGGCATTAGATCCCAGAGGTTGAGGACCCCTGTCCTAGAGACTTCAGAGAGAGCATGCCCCTGCTGACCTCTTAATTCTGGACTTTCCAGCCTCCAAAACTATGGGACAATACGTTTCAGTTGTTTTAAATCACCTAATTTGTGGTGCTTTGTTACCATTGTCCTAGAAAGCTAAAATACACAACTTTATAGAAATCGAGCTTTCAGAAGGATTGCACTCAATCTAGGTAGAGTTAGAAATCTTCCCCCTGAGGGCAAATTAATTCAGATTTTGACCACGTGGTGACTTGGGGGCACAAGAGGTCACAGGGCACCTCCCTGGGCATGCCTCGCTCTCCCTTCCTGGTTTAAACCATCTGACCTGGAGCCTGAAAAGCAAATGCCCCCCACCCCACTCCAGGCCATCAGGGCTCCCTCCCACCCCACCGAGAAGGAAGGAAAAGGGATGGCAGAGAACACAGGTTTTCTTAGCTTTTCAACAGGCAGCAGCCCTGAGTCTGTTTTCTTTCCTCTTCCCTTCAAATTGGTATTTCACATCTCCAATAACTCTTTATCTTTCAGCAAACTCAAGCAGGTCCAGAGCAAGCTGTGAAATTACCAAACTTCAAAAGTTTCACACAAATCATCTTAAAGGCCTGACCTAAGCTCAGGAAAGCCAGAAGGAGGCTGAGAAATCACTCCTTATTTCAGCACTGTGTCACTGAGACGTTGTTCCACCTTGCAGGTCACACCTGTCACCTTAACCGGCCCCACCGGGGTCCCAACCACCTCGAGACACCTGCACGATCCACCCTCCAAAGGCTGAGTTACAAGCTGCGCTTCAGGTCTGCTGGCGGCAGCTTGGATGTTATTCCAGAGCAGCGATGACTGGGGCAGCCTCGCCAAGGCTTTGGTTTAATTTCCTTTGCTGCTGTCGGGGTAGTTTTGCAGGAATTGGGTGGAAGTGATGGTTCTTTGTGGCGGTCAATCTTAGTCTCGGCCACTGGTGGTGATGGTGGAAAGTGACATTGTTGACGGGAGAGGTAGGATGCCTTTGTGAGCTGGGAGAAGTGTGAGCAGAGAGAGAAGAGAGAAGGAAAAAAGTAAAATAATGATGGTGATGATGATGATGATGGTAGTGATGATGGTGCCTTTTCTCCAGTCCTGGAGGGTTAAAATTTGACCTTTCCTTCTCCCTTTATTTTACATCTCTTGTCTGGATTTAGCTATTAAAGACCAATAGAACAACTGATGGAAAAATACTGTCAGCAGCATTTAAAGTCCTGGGCTTAGGTCAGGACTTTCAGATGATTTGTGCGAAATCTTTGAAGTTTGGTCATTTCACAGCTCGCCCTGGGTCTCTTGGCAGCAGGTTCACTGAGCAAGAGAAGAGGTTTCCAGTCTTGAACTGGATGTTCAGGCGCTCAGTCCTGTCCAGCTCTGCGACTCCACGGACCGCAGCATGCCAGGCTTCCCTGTCCTCCACCATCTCCCAGAGTTCACTCAAGTCCATGTCCATCGAGTTGTTGAATTGGATACATGGCACTTATGTTCAACAGACACCTTGGGAGGATGTGTGATGACTGGGAGCTGTTTTTGGTGATGGAAATGTGAAAATGGATAAGACAGAGAGCAAAGCCTTCCTCCCAACCACCCAGGGAAAGGCGCACACACGGGAATCAGCTGTAAGTATCCGGCAGCCCCTGAAAGATGAGAGCGGCCCCCTAACAGGGTCTTTTAGCTCCATAAAGAGATGATAAAATGAGCCTGGGTCCTGCCCTGGGATCTAGTTGGCAGTGTCTGTCTGGGCAGACACTGGGCAGTGTCTGTCAGTCCTGTGCAAACGCGGGCCTTGGGGGAGCTGAATTCCAACCAAGGCTCGGGCAGCTGAGCTGCGTCTCTGCTCCAGGAGGTCATTTTCCTCTATGTGGCTCAGCAGGGACACTTTTTTGCAAGCCAGCCACCCGGACAAAGGTGTGTTTTTGCAGTCCATCCTCCTGGATAAGGCACTTTTTCCCCCCACTTTGCATCATCTCCGGGCATGTAAGCCACCCTGATCTAACAGAAGAGCAGCCTTTGTGTGGCTGCTTGTAGGAAATTTTACAAACGGACGGCGCGAGAGATGACCCCGAGGATGGCAAGCCTCGAGAAGTAAGCGACATAACACACTGGTTTGGGGAGGCCCGTGAAGCCCTTAACTCAATGGGAACTCAGCCGTAGAGTTTTCGTGTGAATGGGGCCATTCTGCCTTCAGCCTTCTCCAATTCTGATTTTATAGGGGAAGTCCAGGACTATAATCTTGTGAGGAAAGGGGGGCCATTGTGTTTTCTCTTTGAAATGACGCAGTGCCTACATGGGAAAACAAGGCCCGGTCTTAATCATTTGGTACACACTTCATAACCAGAAAGAGCCTTTAATTTCTGGAGGTGGCTCAGAAATCTTGTCTAAGCACGTGGCCACGGTGATAACTGTTTAGAAGCCATGTGGAAGAGGGCAGCAGAAGATAACGCCGGAGTGCAGAGCGGGATGGCTGCTGTCTGCCCACTTCCTCCTCTGAAAACACAGCCCCTTGTCTTCCAGGGATGCTGAGGCAAGGAGAGGCAGTGACTCTGGGCTCCCCAGGGCTCCAGCCTGGTCTCAGCTGACCCTGGGCCATCGCCTGGCCATCCTTCACTCCCCAGAGACCTGTCTTCAGCTTCTTTTCTTCCCCAAAGCCCCTGTATTCGTTTCTCAGAGCTGCCTGACAAATAAGAACAAGCGGGCCGGCTGACAACAGAAATGTATCCGCTCACCATTCAGGAGGCTGGAAGTCCAAAATCAAGGTGTGGGTAGGGCTGGTCCCTTCCTGTGGGTTCTGAAGGAGAGTCTGTCTCCGTGCGTCTCTCTAGCTTCTGCTGGTGGCCTGCACTCCAGCCTCTGTGTCTTTTCTCCGCTGAGAAGGACACCAGTCAGAATGATGAAAAGTCCCTTTACTAAGTGTGACCTCATCTTAACGCAGCTGGTTATGTCTGCAGTGGCCCTCTTTCCAGATAAGGTCACATTCTGAGAGCCTAGGGAGTATATGAATTTGGGAGCAACGCATGTTCCACTGAATGGCCTTCCCTACTGTCTTCCTGAGCTCACCGTTCAACCCAGTGCACCTCCATCCTCCATGGACACTGAAATCCATGGAACTTGACCCCTGGGATCCCTCAGAGTCAACCCATAGGTGCTCCCAGCCTCACAGTCCACCGGCTCTCTGACCCTGCCTGTCCTAGCAGCTTTCCTTTCTGTTCCAGAAGAAGCCCTTCTTCTCGTATTATGCTCTAAGAAATCCATTTGTCTTTTACCTATTGGTTGCTGTTGTTCAGTTGCTAGATCGTGTCCAACTCTGTGATCCCCAGGGACTATAGCCCACCAGCCTCCTCTGTCCATGGGATTTTTCCAGGCAAGAATACTGGAGTGGTTCGTCATTTCCTTCTCCAAGGGGCAGCCTCTTTCTGATCCAGGGATCGAACCCAAGTCTCCTACATTGGCAGGTGGATTCTGAGCCACCTGTTTAACCAAGTCTAAACTCCCACACCCAGATTTTGAAGCTGTCTCCTCACCTGCATCTCCCTACTGTCGATGTGGCTGCCAGTCACCCCATCTCCCAGGCCTCACCCTTCTCTAGCCCTCCCGACCCTGGTCAGGCTGCTCTCCTGTTTCTCCCCACTTCCTCCTGCCGCCGGCAGGGCCCATCCACCTCCTCCTCGTACAGTTTCTGTTCCTCGGGTGATGGAGCCTCAGCCCAGGTTTGCTCCATTGAACGGGGTTCCCTGCTGCCTTCCTGAACTGTCTCAGCCCCTCCCATACCCTATGTTTCCGGTTCCGGGACCGATGCCGGAAGTCGCTCCTTCCCTGAACTGCTCATGGCCTCTCTAGCTTGATGGTGTTTCGGTGATGAGCCATCTCCCCAGCTAGACTTTGGGCTTTCTGAAGGCCAAGATCATGACCCATCTGTGCTTCAGTCCCCCGGCACGACCCAGGACCCCAGAAGGCTCTATCAGTTTTCACTTAGAACTTGCACGCATGGAGCCATTTTGCTTTATGAGCCTGGGTTGCCATGGAGAATTACTTCTTAGGGGTTGAGTCAGTTTGGGATGTTAACACAACAGGATGGGGGATTAGACTTTAATTGTTTTATGGGATGTGTTTAGAGTTTCTAAAGGTGGGCCTTAGGTCTGCCTGTTTCAGAGCCTGCAGGGTCGCTTGTTAAGAGGGAAATTCCAGGCCCCTGACCAAGACCTGCTGATTCAGAATTTTAGGAGGTGAATCTGGGGAACTGAGCGCTGATGTCATTGCTGGCTCCTGCCCTGGTGATTCTTAGGCGTGGTAAAGTTGAGAGTCATGGATCCAGACACGTGGATGATACATACTGATTCTAGATGTTCTAGCAGAGCTGAAGATAAACAGGAGACTTATTACAGCTCACAGAGCCAGCTCGGCAAATCGAAAAGTGATTCATTGCTTCCTAGGTGACCTATTGCTTTCAAGAGCCAGGGTGTTCTCCTGAGGTCGAGTGACATTCTCACAAAATCAGGGGCCCAGGAGGAGACTCTGGAGGGTCTTCGGAGTGACCTATGGGCACTGCTGAGCCCAGCCGCAAACAGAGTGTACCTGTCTTCCCCTGCTGGTCCCCTTGCCCCCACCCCAGGCGGAGAATTAGAGCATGCTGTTCAGAGCTAATGTTTGCTTTGCTTTTGGAAACACCTCAGGGCAACTCAGGATAGGTTTTCAGAGTGGTGTTTGCCTTGGCTTGGCTGCAAAGTTCCCCCTTTCTAGTCTATTTATTGCAAGTTAGCACTCAGCCCCAGATCCAGGAATCAAACACTGGTTCTAACAGAAATCAGGGGGCAGACGAACGAAATGAAACATGGGGTGGGCTGGAGGGCGCGTCCCCATGCCGGCTTCTTGGCCTGGGGGTAACCTGAGGTCGGGGTGGGAGCCAGCCTTGCAGCCCCTGGCCTGGGCAGCCCCGTGAGGCCTCGGGGCCATGGGATAATAACGGCTGCCCACTGCCCAACGACAGGCTCTGAAGGAATTGTTTCCCAGGAGAGAGATGTGTTCCACTGTTAGCTCTGATTTTGTTTACATGTTTTCTTACCTTTCAAAAGATTCAATTAGCTTTCGACAGCAAATTGCGGGTCCTTCTTGATATTCGCTCTCAGGTTGCAAACAGAGGCTGCCTTACATTTGGATGATAATCGCCAGGGCTGTGCCAGTGAGTCCATTTACATCCAATCCTTTAATCCTCACAAAACTCCATGCAGAGGGTGTTATTAGATCCCACTTAATGATGAAAAAGCAAACTCAGAGAGGTTAAGTGAGTGACCCAAGGTGACCCAGCTGATACAGGGAGGGAGCAGCCCCAGGGATCACCCCATCTGAGTGACAGGGGGCTCGCCACTGGCGATGACCTACTCCCGCCGGAAATGTCTTTCCTTGCCTTAAAGAACAAAGGTGCTTGTGATCATTTTGTTAAGATCTTCTATTTCTTCCTGGTTCAGTTTTGGAAAGTTATACTTCTCTAAGAACTTGTCCATTTAGGGTAACCTGAGGTCGGGGTGGGAGCCAGCCTTGCAGCCCCTGGCCTGGGCAGCCCCGTGAGGCCTCGGGGCCATGGGATAATAACGGCTGCCCAATGCCCAACGACAGGCTCTGAAGGAATTGTTTCCCAGGAGAGAGATGTGTTCCACTGTTAGCTCCGATTTTGTTTACATGTTTTCTTACCTTTCAAAAGATTCAATTAGCTTTCGACAGCAAATTGTGGGTCCTTCTTGATATTAGCTCTCAGGTTGCAAACAGAGGCCGCCTTACATTTGGATGATAATCGCCAGGGCTGTGCCAGTGAGTCCATTTACATCCGATCCTTTAATCCTCACAAAACTCCATGCAGAGGGTGTTATTAGATCCCACTTAATGATGAAAAAGCAAACTCAGAGAGGTTAAGTGAGTGACCCGAGGTGACCCAGCTGATACCGGGAAGGAGCAGCCCCAGGGATCACCCCATCTGAGTGACAGGGGGCTCGCCACTGGTGATGACCTACTCCCGCCGGAAATGTCTTTCCTTGCCTTAAAGAAGGAACAAAGGTGACACATACATACTGCTGTATATAAAATCAATAACTAATAAGGACCTATTGCCTAGCACAGGGAACACTGCTCAACGCTCTGTAATAATCTATATGGGAAAATAATCTAAAAAAAGAGTGGGTATATAAATACGTACATGTGTAACTGATTCACTTTGCTGTACCTGAAACCAAACACAACTTCTTAAATCAACTATACTCCAATAAAGAGTTTTTTACAAGTGGAGGGACGAACAATGGTTTACTGAGGCCTGAAAGATTTCACCTAAGTTTAGCTCCTATTTGCATTAAGTGTATCAGCCCATTTTATATTAGCAAAATGAAAACTGAGGAAAGGTATGGGTTTCACATGACATGCCTGCAGGGCATTAAAATACACTATTAAGGGGAACTTCTGGCCATATCACATTTCTATTTCACAAAAGTGAAAAGCATGATTGAGATTCACTAGTGTGCATGGTAGAAGTGAAAGTGAAGTTGCTCAGTCGTGTCCGACTCTTTGTGTCCTCATGAACTATACAGTCCATGGAATTCTCCAGGCCAGAATACTGGAGTGGGTAGCCTTTCCCTTCTCCAGGGGATCTTCCCAACCCAGGGATCAAACCCAGGTCTCCCGCATTGCAGGCAGATTCTTTACCAGCTGGGTCACAAGGGTAGAAAGAATTTAAAATCCAACTGGAACATAAGTAAGACCCTTGGGATGTGGCCGCCACCCTCTGATCCAGGGTGGGTTGCAATCAAAGGCGTGCTGGATGGAATCTGGCACAATAGGGGCTGGGTGAAACTAAACCAGAAGTTGTGGGCTTTAGGGAACAGATCCACACCTCCCAAATTTCCTACCTGAAGACCTCTTTCTCACTCTTCTGTTCCATAGTTTCTATGGCAGAGACATGGACACAGCTCTCCTGTCCCAAACCCACAAGGTCACTTTGATCATTGGAGACTTATCTTTCTTACCAGCAGCCAGTTCATGGACCCATGATTCTCCCTACATTCAAGGATAGGAAAAAAGAATACTGTGAATTAAAAATCCCCAGTTACTGATTGAATCTAAGGAAACCCAAAGAGGCTAAGATATTATTTAGACATGGATCTCAGTTCCCAGAGGCTGGATGAAGTGGGCTGGAAGGGGTTAATGGTATTATGCTGCTTGACTGTTGTGGAAAACATCATCTTTTGACTTACTGCTATGAGCTAAAAGCAGTTAAGAAGAAACCACCGTGAACAATAGTAATTGCTATTCTAATCTGTTATTCTAATATCTGCAAAAACTGAAGTTGGTGTTATTACCCTAGGTTTACATATTAGGGAACAAGAGATTTGATGAGTTTGGTAATTTGTACAAGATTATAAAGCAAGCAATTGGTAGGGTCCAGAAAAAATGGAAACAGTGACAGATTTTATTTTCCTGGGTTTCAAAATCACTGTTGACGGCGACTGCAGCTATGAAATTAAAAGACCCCTGCTTCCTGGAAGGAGAACTATGCCAAACCTAGACAACACATTAAGAAGCAGAGAGGTCACTTTGCCGATGAGGGTCCATATAATCAAAGCTATGATTTTTCCAGTAGCCATGTACAGATGTGAGAGCTGGACCATAAAGAGGTCTGAGCACCGAAGAATTGATGTTTTCGAATTGTGGTGCTGGAGAAGACTCTTGAGAGTCCCTTGGACAGCAAGGAGATCAAACCAGTCAATCCTAAAGGAAATCAATCCTGACTATTCATTGGAGGGCCTGATGCTGAGGCTGAGGTTTCAATAGTTTGGCCACCTGAGGTGGCCTCATTGGAAAAGACCCTGATGCTGGGAAAGACTGAGGGCAAAATGAGAAGGGGGTGGCAGAGGATGAGATGGTTTAGATGGCATCACTGACTCAATGGACATGAATTTGAACAAACTCCAGGAGATGATGAAGGGCAGGGAAGCCTTATGTGCTACTGTCCATGGAGTTGCACAGAGCCAGACACAGCAACAGGGCCCAGAAATGAACTCGGTCCTTTCTTCTCTAAGCAGTCTCCCATGAAACACAGTTCTCATCTCGGCTGTGGCCTGATGGAGTATCACATTCTACTACTGCATCAGCCAGAAGGTCAAGAGCAGTTATGCCTTCCCGGTAGTATGCTTCAGAGTCGGTCCTGGAATTAGCAGAGTTCATTCTCAGTCAAGAAAAAGAGTATTCCAAGGAAATGATATCTTAAGATATTTTTTTCCTTAGTTGGTAGAAATTCCTTGAGAGGGTTATGGTGTATTAAAGATATATTACTGTGACGTCTTGTAAAAATTTTATAGCTACTGTTTTACACTTACTCAGCATTCCTGATCTCATTGTGGTATTCACTCCAAATAATACTGTGTGAGTCAGTGTGTAAGAATCAAATGCAAGTGTACATTATTTAATGATATCCTAAATGATGGTATCTCTAGGAATGAATTTTTCTTAAATATCATGGCTGTAGCATTGTCCATTATTGCTTTAAAATTCAAGTTTCTTGGCATTCATAATTATGATAGTTATAAGAAATGAGTTGTTTACTATTAAACAAAATACCTAATATTTCTCAACTATTAAAAAATGTATATAATCTCAAAAGCATCTGACTTAAGGAAGAAATTCTCAGCCCAGCCTGCACGTTAGAATTTAAAAGCTTTGGAAGCTTTTACAAGCTCCTATTGTGTGGGCTTCACCCTTAGAGCAGTTAGATAAGATCTC